GCATTCACACTCCCATACACACTCAGGCACTCACACTCCCATACACACTCAGGCACTCACACTCCCATACACACTCAGGCACTCACACTCACTCTCACTCTCACTCTCACACTCACTCACTCTCACTCTCACACTCACACACTTTCACACTTTCACACTCTCACACTCTCACACTCACACACTCTCAGACTCTCACACTCACACACTCACACACTCTCACACTCTCACACTCTCACACTCACACACTCTCACACTCTCACACTCACACACTCACACACTTTCACACTCACACACTTTCACACTCTCACACTCTCACACTCACACACTCACACACTCACACACTCAGCACACCGTTTCACACTCACAACACTTCACACTCTCACATCTCACACTCACACACTTCACACACTCACACACTTTCACACTCACCACTCTCACACTCTCACACTCTCACACTCCACACTCACACACTCTCACACTCTCACACTCTCACACTCTCACACTCTCACACTCACACACTCACACACTCTCACACTCTCACACTCACAACACTCACACACTCTCACACTCTCACACTCTCACACTCTCCACACTCTCACACTGTCACTACTGTCACACTGTCACACTCACCACACACACAACACTCTCAGCACTCTCACACTCTTGCACATACACACACACACACACTTGCACATACACACACACACACTTGCACATACACACACACACACTTGCACATACACACACACACACTTGCACATACACACACACACACTCCCATACACACTCAGGCACTCACACTCCCATACACACTCAGGCACTCACACTCCCATACACACTCAGGCACTCACACTCCCATACACACTCAGGCACTCACACTCCCATACACACACACACACACACACTCCCATACACACTCAGGCACTCACACTCCCATACACACACACACACACACACACACACACTTGCACATACACACACACACACTCCCATACACACACACACACACTTGCACATACACACACACACACTCCCATACACACTCAGGCACTCACACTCCCATACACACACACACACTCCATACACACACACACACTCCATACACACACACACACTTGCACATACACACACACACACTCTCACACTCCACACTCTCACACTCTCACACTCACACACTTTCACACTTTCACACTCTCACACTCACACACTCTCACTCTCACACTCACACTCACACTCACACTCACTCTCACACTCAAACACTCTCACTCTCACTCTCACTCTCACTCACACACTTTCACACTCACACACTTTCACACTCACACACTTTCACACTCACACACTCTCACACTCTCACACTCTCACACTCACACACTTTCACACTCACACACACTTTCACACTCACACACTTTCACACTTTCACACTCTCACACTCTCACACTCACACACACAAAAAGAGCACACTCCGAGTTCCCATTTCTTTGTCCTTACCTACATCCCACAATCAAACTTCAAAAATATAAACAATTATGTAAACAAAGATTTGCTAACTGACCTGGCGTGCCACATCTGCCACTTCTCGCAAATAACACTCTAAATTAACCCCATTCTCCCTCCCGAGACGCTCCACCTGGCTCTTGATGCGAGGCCATGTGACTCCACTCTCTCTGAAAGGTTAACAATAATAAGTTTCATACCAGACACTTCCTGAAATCTTCTATGTCTAGATTTTTACTATTCTTTTAATTTTTTACTAAAATCTAAAAAGTAAATTAATGTTCTTTTCCAAGTATGAGAACCCAACCCTAGCTATCTACAATACTATACAAATTTTTCATAAAGCGCCATACAGTACATATATTATTTTAATATTAATGACAAAGATACTCTGGTAGTGCATTATCATAGAAAATACTGCAAAAGTATAAGAACAATTAAGTCATGCCCAAAACAGTAACAATGTTTAGCTATTCACATATACAAATGATCTTATTCTGTAGTTATCATCCAGATGTATACACAAAGTCTCCTATTTGAACCATACAGCATAATCATATATGAGTCATTTGAAAAAATAAAATTTCATAGATAATTTACTTCATTCGCTGCCTTCGCTGTTCCCTTTTGATTGCCAAGATTTGGGCCAGGTCGTAATCATCCTCTTTTCCTTTCCTGCTGACATTGGCATAAGCCCGAAGGAATGAAGTTAATCTTGGTGGCCCAACAGCTGCAATAAAAATTTTATAAAGTTAATAGCTATTATCAATTTGATATTGATAAAACTTTTAAAAATCATTGAAAATAACAAGATGCAAGTGAGAGGTAGGGTTGTGGAGACAGGTGAGAGGCTGGGTTGTGGAAACAGATGAGGAATGAGAGGGTAAAGTTAGAGAAACAGGTAAGAGGAAGCGTTAGAAAGACAGGTTAACCCAACAATGATGGGTGTCTCACCAGAGATAGCTGTCTCATATGCAAGCCATTTGTATTCTTGGCTTACACTCTGAGTCACCCACCATGTGTGCTTCACAGTCGAGAAGCAAGCACTTGCTGGTGTAGCTACTATCCATTAATAAGTGTGTTTTCCACTTTGAGGTACCTGTCATGGGTGGGTTAAGGATAGGGTTAGGGGAAACAGGTATGGCGTAGGGTTAGGGATACAAGTGAAGGGAAGGGGAATAGAGACAACTGAGGGTAGGACTGGGGATATATGAGAGGAGTAAGGCTGGGGAGATAGATGAGGGGTATGGCAGGGGAAAAAGGTTAGGGATAAGGTTAGGAAGACACATGAAGGATAGCATTGGGGTGATAGGTAAGGTGCAGATTTGCAGATTTAAGGGAAGAGTAGGTGAGGACCCAGGTAAGGGATAGGGAAATTTAATGGAAATGAGGACATAAATAATATATACACTATAAGAAACTGAATGTATGGCTAAGTGAAGAGTAAAAAACAAATCAAACTTGAACCTGAGGACATTAGTGCTACATCAAGAGAAATATCACAGAGTACCCAAAAAATAAAATGTACATATACTTACGTCTTCCACCATGAGGAGCCATTTTTTTCTCACTTCCACTTGATGGAATCTGAGGAAATTCAATATTATTAATATAAAGCTGCCAAAGTATTTAGTCAAGAACATATAAATAAATGGATATAACACTGACAGCACATATGAATGAATTGTAAATTTTGTTTCTCCCTAAAATCTAGCTTTGTTATATGACTGGGAAATCAAAAAATCATTACAGTTACAGCAGTACCAATACATACAATTATGTACATAGTACTCAAATCCACCTGGCAGTTCCAAAAGTAGCTATATTTTTTCTCTTGTGAGAAATTTGGAGTAAAGAGTAAAAGGGTTGCTGAACTATCATTTGCCTGATAATCAATGGTGTATCTGCAGTAGCTCAAGATTTTCTGTTTTCATTTTGAAAAAGAATAAATGTGGTAAATAAAATAAACAGTAGGTTCTACATTACAACAGTATAATGAACTATCCAAGTCTTTAGCAATAATCAACATCTTGGTTAAATTTGAACAAAGCTCTTAAAAGAACATATATGACAACAATACCATGTACAAACCATTAACTGTACAAAGTCAATCTTTGCCTACAATTGTTCATCAGTGATATAATCTACTGTGACTCAAGTCATCACCATGGCCTTCATAACTTCATTGATCAAGCAAAGGCCAACAAATCAGGATAGAGCTTGTAGACCCTTAGGTTATTTACTGAATACAGAAATAGTACAAGAACTATCAAGCAAAAATTTATATGACAGACTATAGGTTTGTTGATCTTTGGTTCAGCACCAAAGGTGTGGCTGGCACAGAAATCACATAACTTAGTCTTTGAGAGATGCAGTCCTAGGTTCAAGATTTACTAACATTTTACAATAACTGATCTAATTATACATATTTTAAAAATCTGCTAGTGCATGAAGATACCTTAAACAATTTAAAGGAATTGTTCAGTATAGTAGCGTGTAAAATATATGAGAAACAATACCGATGGCAATAAATTGCACATACAATCTAAATCATAAAACATGACTTTCAGGCATAAAAAACTAAACGGGCAAAAGAGAGGTAACCCATTATCATAATAATTTATGAAGTCATGCTTGTGTAGCTAAGTCCAAGTTAATTACTAATGTGACCTCTGTGCTCTGCTCTGGCATGAACAAACGTACAGGTAGCAGAAGTTTGTGGGAGGGCAAAGTACAGAGAGGGAAGTGTTAGTTGTAGTTCTCCTCTAGACAATCAGCCAATTTCTGTGTTTATGGAAACTAGAGTGTGAGAGAGATCCATCGATACCAAAATCGTTATGGTCAATTATATGAAGGTATTCTGAATAATTATCAAATATTACATAATTTCCATATTAAAGGAATGGAATAATTGAACAGCAAACTTAAATTAACAATAATGATAAGAACATCATCAATAATATCATCATCAAATGATAGCAATAACAATAATAATAATGATAGTAATGATGTTAATAATAATAATGAAAGAAATAATAATAATTTCTGTATCAATAGCAGAAAAAGAACCATAGTAAAGGGAAAAGAAGACTAAAAATTAACAAAAAAATAAAAACAAAACTATCATTCCCTCACGAGCATAGCCGAGTTCCCATTAACTTTAGCCTAATACCTTTTGTAACTCTCTTGTAGTTTATAGACATAACTTCACTAGATCTATTATTAATAATAATGCTTCACTGCGATATCAAAATACTAAGTTTGTCTAAAAGAAAAAGAAAATATCCAAGTCTTTTTCCCTACAGCTGTTTACACATCTCTTAAAACAATAATAAAAAAAATTGAAAACCCCTTTCCCTATAAAACCATTATTCATATATCCTCTTCAAAATAAGCTGGTAATGATATGAAAAACTCACGTATCACAGTCGGTAATTTAAATAGCTGGATACGTAACTAATGACAGATGTTGGTGGCGACTGTCGTGTATCCGCACTTGATTCCGG